TAATCGCGCCTCGTTGTCCCACTTTGTTCCGCCGTGTTGTGTCATATTGTGTTGTATCGCATTGCACATCACGCTAACAACCCCGAGGCCGGTATTAACAGTTCGTTACTTGAACTTTCTCTCATACGAAGTACTCAGATTCGAGTCCGAAGTTGGATGAGAGTTTTTCAATTGAGTCGCGACTATAGATATAATGTCACACATAAATCATGTAATTCAACTGAAAAACTTGGGTCTGATTCTTATTGGAAATATCTGAATATGTCACGAACTTCACGTTTGGCAGGCTCAAGAAAAGCTCGCGTCGGAGTGGATGTGTACTCTCTTAAAGTCGGTAAAATGTGCTTCCGATTGAATCAGTAAGAGAATGGTCAAGCAGTTTTGAAACCATTTTAAAATAAGTTTATAATGCGTAAATTACAAACATGCAAGTGCCAAAGTCGTCGGATCTTAGGTTCCAGAGATATGGCTCACTGAAAATTCCATTTCAACGAAATGGCGCCTCGTGGAAGTAAGATTTTCAATGGGTTTCATATCTCTGAAACTTGAGATCCGACGGCCTTGGCACTTATATATTTGTAATCTACGAACATTATAAACCTTATTTTAAAAACTTATTTTCTAAACAAGAACCAATTAAAATTTTTCATGGTGATATTCGTACCTTAAATCACTCACATTGGACATTATCTTAAAAAAATTTTCATTGTTCTCTAGTCTAATTAGTGAGCATTCACTGATTTCACAGTTTTCCGGAAAGACTTCTATTTCACTGTTCCATCTTGCATCTCATTGATTTTCACTAATGAAAGTAAGATTTTAGTGCAAAATTTGTAATACACAAATTTATTACACATATCCAAATCTAACTTTCAGCGTTTGTAACAATGGGATTATCAGCCAAGATTATCTTCCATACATCTTGCGTACAATGACTTTGTGTCCGTGCTCGCAAAGTGCACCAATAACAGAAATAGTAATCAGTTAATAGGTTACTTAATAGTCGCTACTGTCAACTGATCGACGAGAACGCTACTGTTAACTTTCAGCGAGAACGTACATGATGTACTTATAACAGTGCTGTACTTATAACTAAACCGCAAAATATAACATTTCCCTGCGGGATATACTGATTACACTTTAGAGAGTACAAATGCAAAAGAGTGATCTGCGCGTCAGACAAGCGACGAGGTATCGAGCCAATGATCGCGCGGATGTGACGGCAATTTCGCGAAATTGCGGTATCTCGTTTGTACGTTGTAATCTTTTATTATGCGCAACGAATTCCCCAGGGACACAGTCGAGCCTAAAAAAGAGGGTCGAGTCGTTCTTTGCTCTGCTCGCTCGTGCAAATTTAAGTAGGGAGGAGAACGTTTCGCTGTCAGCCGGCGATTCTCGCCTCTTCCTTCTCTCTCTCTCTCTCTCTCTCGGTCTTCCCTTTCAGAGTTTTTATTCCCCGGGGAAGGATATTAGACGTCTGCAGTTCTTACACGTGCCGTTAACCCCTGTTTGACGTTTGACGTGCCAAAAGCGAAAAGCAAACACTCAACATAGCCTCGCGAAAGCGTCGTTGTCGAAATGGAGTTTTTCGGTGGCGTAAAGCGGGATTACGAAGTGAAATCGGCGTTTAATCCTTTCAGTTACGCAACATTCTTCGTCGGCGGCGTGCTATATTTATAATGCCATTAAAACCGCTCCGCAGTTTTCCTCTTCTCTCTCTCTCTCTCTCTCTCTCTCTCTCTCTCTCTTTCTCTCTCTCTTTTTTCGAATTTTCGCTGTCAATCTACCTGGCGTCGCGTCCCTGCGTTTTCACTCTCGGGACAGATTTACGCTCGTGATTCCCAGATTAGCGTCGAATTAAACGCGTTTTAATAACGGAAGTTCGAGAGCGCGAGACACGCATCCCGGCGAGCTCGATGACGGCGAACAGTGTTTTCAATTTCGCGCTCGAGAGACTTTATTCTCGAGGGAGGGGTGTTCGATGCGCCCCGCATGCACTCCTCCAAAGCTAGCCCCCGCGAGCTCCATTTGATGCATCGTTTGACAAAGGGATAAAAAAGTCTTCTCCGTTTCTATAAAACATCGCTATCATCGCAATTAATTATACGTCTATCTATCGGGCTGCCTTTGTCGGTAAATCTCCGGAGTCAACGGAGCTTTTCTCGCTAAACGAAATTAACCCTTTTTTTCGAGACTGTCTTTCTCTCTCTGTCTGACTCTGATGCAAATTTTATATCGATGAGCCCCACGAATAGCATTTCCATCAAAATCATTGATGCGTCGTTCGTTTTATGGTCTATATTTTTCGAGGGAAAGTAAACCTAAAGTAAAAACATTTTCGGGGAAAACTAGTTACGTACCAGAAACTAGTCAATTTTTATAAGACAATAACTGTTAATAATATTATTAAAGATAATATCTCAACAACTGTTGAGACCACATTGGTTAATTATTAGTACTTATCTTAGAACGTAGATACTTTTCTCTAAGTTTTATTTAAAATCAAAATAATATTACAATTAAATAATAGAAAAGAAACTGATTTAGCATAAGCAAAGTAAATTTTCGAGCCTCTTGAAATTTTGTATTAATGTTCTCCGTCGTGAGTGAATAAAGTTAAACGACATTTGCACGTATATTTGCATGTTTATACGATCAATCACAATAATTAGTTGTCTGAGATCTTGTAACTTGAAAATTCTGAAATATCGGGCTCATCCAGCCTTGGTCTTTCCTGGACGAATACTGGACAGTGATCAGAATTTCTGGGCCGGTTACTCGCTATACCCTGACTGATTTTCTGCTCGGGAACTTCACGGTGCAAAAACGCAATGCGGCCATCCC